AATAAATTTTCATTTCATTCATTACTATAAAGTAGTTTAGTGAATACAAAAATGAAACTAAAATGAAATGAACAAAGTATAAAAGCCAAAAGGATTCTAGTCTATCAGATCCTTTCCTATGCCAGAGCCATTTGTCATTCCACCGTCATTGGCTGTTTCGTTATCTCCAGCTGGTCCATTACCTCCCTCCCCATTATTGATTGTTTCCTCGCCTCTGGATGGAGAGTCAAGATGAATGACTTCTTCATTTGACAGAGCTCTATCAGTAGCCACAATGGCAAGAAGAATAATAATAGTAATAAGAAAGATGCTCAGAGGGCAAACAGGTAGGACAATTCCAGAGGAGACAATCTTATTGCACTCTATGAATATATACTTGGCAGGGTCAGAAGGCGGATCTCTGTAGATGCTCGGCAGGTCAATCTTTAAAAAGGCATCTACATCGTCCGGGCATGCATAGGAACTTGTCTCGCTTTCAGGAGAGGAACGGTCGATGAAACCATCTATGTACCCTTCGGTATACATAAGAGCCCCAATCCTCAAAAAATGAGTATGAAAAGCCCTCATGCCACCATCAACTTTGCCTATAACATTTAATAGAGCGGTGTGCTTGTTCGAGAATTTCTCTTCAGAGACAGAACGGGTTAGCTGTTCAGAAATTAACGTACGCTGGAGGTTTCCCCTTTTTTAACCTTCAGAGCTTCTCTTTCTATTTGCATAATGTTTTTCTCTATCTTCAAGACGTCCATTTCATCATGAAGAGAGTCTCGCTTGTTCTTCAGAGTATCTCTCTCAGCCTTCAGAGCATCCATTTCTCTCTTTAACTCATCAAGTTTGATTAGCAATTCTGTGTTTTTAGCCTCAACTCCTTTTATGTTCTTAATAGACCTATCAAGACCAAGGGAGAGGGCTTTAACCTTCTTATTTTCCAGTTCGAGATTCCTTTAGAAAGTGATCATCTTGAACAGAGTCTGCACAAAGACACGAGCGTTCTGATACAGTCAGTACAAGTATAAGTTGATATAAAGTAATGATAAAAGTAAGCTCAGAAGGCAGAGGAGAATTACCTCAACAGCAGTCGTAAGGAAAGCGGTTGAATATTTCATTAAAGACATTTTTTCCTTAGCATGTAGTCCTGAGGGGTCTAAATGCCCTTCTGGAAAGCAAATGAGGTGGCAGGATCCTTGATCACAGAATCTGTAGGAGCCACATTGACCCATCCTCACATTTGAGTATGGGGCACCATAGAATCACTGCTGGGGAGGAGATGGAAGTTCTGGCTGATTCACCTTCAGTAATAGATATCTGAGGTGAAAGGAGAGTGGTGGTAACCCTATAAGTCCTAGTCCTTCGAGGCAAAGAAATGTCATCCTGGTTAGAACCACCCTCAGGTTGGGGTCTCTTACCCAAGCTTTTCTCCAAAGTAGCTGCTCGGACAGGGGTAGATCCTTCTGTATTCGGAGCAGTAGGTAGAGAAATTTTGTTTAGAGCTTCAGAAAGATTGTCGTTTGGCAAAATAGGAGGAGCTTCGATTGAAGTAAATGCGAGAGGCTCAGCAGAAGGCTGACTGAGGTTCTGGGCATCAACCAAAACAGTTGGGATAGTCACAGAAGTAGCTGGGGTAGCCGCAGGGGCAGCTGCAGAAAAAGGTCTCCTTCTACTGAAAGATGGGATTTGAATATGTTCCATGGTAGAGCCAAGGATTGAGATGTTATAGAGGTTTTTCGGGGTAAGCAGATCAGAAGCAGAGGGAATGAGGTTTAGAACCTTCTACTTCAAATGATCAAGTTTAGCCCTGTAAACACTGAAAACCAATTCGTCGTAAGGAATGTGAAGGCAACGATAAAGGAAAGTGCAAAAACGTGGAAGACAAATTTCACAGGGGCAATCGTTCTTATCTTTTTTATGTTTTTCATATAAAGGGACAGAGCACTCTCCAAAAGAGGTCGGGATAGGGAAAGTCCGACCGAGTGGAGTTTGCCAAGCTCCACTGACCCCAATCAAACTACTTTTCCAACCCTTTTCAGAGGCAAGTTTGTCCGTACATATAGATCGTTTCGCAAGGGGAAAGAAATGGAAGTACATGTCATTGGTTTTGATTTTGGTGACTCGATAGCAGAGAAAAATATCTATGATGTCTAGATCTAGATTTCTGTCATGATTTAAGATCAAGAGAACTGATATCACCCTAAGGAAATTGAGGTTAACTTGAAGAGGGAAAAGCCCTAATTTGTTAAAAACAAAACAAAAGAACGGATACAAAGGGAATCTAATTACATTTAGATTCCCTAATTACATTTAGATGAAGAACGAAAATAGGATCTCTCTGGGACGAAGACCCTCGTCGGATCTCTCATCCAATCCCTCGGGATAGACCCTAATGGAAACATCGTTAGGGATGTCATTTTTCAAATGAAGGGCCTCTAAATCAGGAGTCATTATAGTGGTAAAAGAGGTTCTTAGTTTTAGGTTTTCTTTCTTTCAGCAAAAAGTAAAGAACAAAACCCTCGAAAAGTAACAGGAGATTAAGACTAACCATAGAAAGAAGATTTACAGAGTGCACCGAGATAGAGTGAAAAATGAAGAATCACAAAGGAAGAGCTCACCGGAGAAGACTAGATATTGAAAGGAATGGCAAAAGGAGATAATGCTCGAGGATGAAGATGAGGAAGATAGATGAAAAGCGAAGATGGTAACTTAGGGGTTTTAAGGAAGAAGAGATTCGTGGACCCAAGGGCCAAGGCAATGATGGAGCTTCAAATTTCAAAACATGGGTCTCTAAATCAACCGTTCATTTCCCCATGTCACTGCCTTGAGCCGTCTTGTCATGATTAGATTTCTTTAATAATCTCACCCTAATTAATTAGGGAGAGATTATGAGGGCAAATAAGGATACGAAAAATGACCTAGGCCGGGTACGACCTAGATCGCTAAAAGTTGGACCTGAGAAGAACACCTGACCCGACCGGATGATTACTTATCAGGCCCAACATCTATTCAAACAATCCTGAAGCCCAATCTTGGAGCAAATGAAATAAGCCGATATCCAAAATAAGCCCAAAGGGTCAGTCCAACATGGAGAGCTAAAAGAGAAGCTTCTAGAACAATTGTAAAAGTCTATAAATAGAATGAAAAGAGAGGGAAAAGGGGTTGAGATATTTTGAAGTGTAATAACTAATCTTTCCAAATTAAGAGAGTTTGTTTATTGCATCTTCACCTTTAAGATGATAAATTATGACATTGTGTATATGATTATATGTTAAGCATGCTCATGGATAATTTTGTACATGTCTTACCTTGGATGATGATGTTTTTGTTGTATTAGGTTTCCAAAACTTGCCATGATTTTTCCTTAATTATTATGATATATCATGATGATGTTGTTCTTGTTATAGTGATGGACTCATGATTTTGAGGATATATGAATGGTTATGCATTGCATATCATGGCATAAAGAGGGGGTTTTGGAATGGAATTGAAAAAGGAAAATTTTCTTTTTTTTAAAGTGAAGTTTTTGATACTGAAAGGGAAGTTTTTAAAAAAAAAAAAAAATGAACCGGATTTCTCGAGTCCGGGGCTAACTTGACCTAGAGGGAGTGCGGCCCGGTGTAGGGTGTGAAAAAGTTAATACTAGGCCCTTTAACGGTTGCCAGATTTAGACCCGGGGATAGTTATTAATCTCGCCTCGAAAAAGTCAGTTAGCGGATTTTTTTTTAAAAAAATGTGGATTAGGTCGGTATAGACCAAATTTGGGACGGGTACATCACATTTCATATCATACACATCCATTGTGGAATTGTGTTAAGTATTGGGATTGTTGCTTATTGAGTTAAAAATGTTGTATGTCCCCATTTTGCGACCTCGATTCCTTTTCTATTCCTTTAAATGTAACGTGGCTCAAGGGAGTCCAAAACTGACACCTTAGGCGACTTCTATGAGCTTTATGCTCACCCTATTATTTTTAACATTTTTCAGGACACAAGAAATAAGTGAGGATGTTCCACTACAGGGCTAGTTTAGATTAGAAGATCATTTTGCTATTTTTGTATCTATGTCCTATTATTTTTGTAAAAGCTTAGTTTGTTATATTCAGTATAGAGACTTATGAACTCTTGTTATTGTAATTTTGCTTTATGGACTGTAAGTTGATGTAATTGGAGTAAAATTCTAATATATGAGCATGGCACTATGTATAAAACAGGTATTTCTATGTTCTAGATGAATGGGATGATGATGATAAACTCTTTTGAGAATGGTGTTGATGTTGTAGATTTTAGATTAAGGTTTATTATGTACATCTTGTGTTAAAGTATGTTAGTTTAGTTTTGAAGGCCCAAGTGAGGCCATTGCATTTCATATGCATTAAGCAGGTTGTAGAAGGACTCTTTTCTGTAGAGGTCATGCCGATTTTTTGGGTCATTACACATGATGATCTAGTTATAATAGAATTTAAAAATTAGAGTTTAAAGTATCAAAATTTAAATTTTAACATGACAGGTTGATATATATATATATATATATATTCTATCATAGTATTGGCAAGGGCCATGTGGTGGTGTCAACAACTCCCTCTGCCAATGATTGTGATCACCATACAAGATGGTAATTTATGTTCGTGTTCTAGTTTTCAGATACAAATTAGAGCTAGCATACATCTTAATATGACTAAAGTAAGTTGTTGCCTTGCAACTTAAAAATTTCTAGCTAAATTATTGCACAGCTTCTTCTTCATCAAAAATGCTTCTGTTGGAAGCATTGAAGAAGCTACTAATCAATGGGAATGAAAATGGTATCAGGGGGATTTTTCTTATTCTTTCATCTAGCACCCTAATCAATCCCATAAGCTATTGCTATAGTTGTTGCTTTGCTTGATTAATCTATAACAGTTGGCTAATTAGAAACAAAGAATAGAAGGTTTGGCCGAATAATAAAAGTAGGATTCTCTCAAAAGAAACAATATGGAAGGATAAAGGCAAACACTGAGTTTTGAATAGAGTACGTTGATGGAAACATTATGTACATAACTATATTATTTATATTCAATTAAAGTGTACTTAAGGGATTATATTAAGATAAAATAAAATAAAAATAAAATAAAAATAAAAAAAAAAGAATTTGCATGCTAACGGCAATTAATGGTTGTAATAGTTACATTGTTCGCAGAACATCTCCTTTCGCTCTGTTGAGAAAAACCTATTTCTGAGAAACCATGAATTTCAGTAAATGCAGGTTGCTTTGGAGTTGGAAGATCTGCAATTTCCCTACCAAGCATTGACAGAACAGTAAAAATAGTTGGCCTATCTTTGGCAAAATCTTGGACACACAATAGTCCTACATGTATGTATCTTAGGATCTCCACTTGAAAGGACGAATCAGAAATTGTTGGATCTATTAGCAATTCAATCTTATCCTCATTCCACAATTTCCATGCCTGGAGAGATCAACAAAACAATGACATGTTGGAATTAGGAAGTTTGAAATAAAAAGAACTACGGAGTAACTGAGGCAATGATTCATGTGAACTTACAAATCCTAGAAGACTCAAAGACTCTTCATCGTGATAGCTAGTGTTTTTCTGCCCACTTACAATCTCTAATAACAATACTCCAAAGCTAAATACATCAGATTTTTCCGAGAATCTCCCTTGCATTGCATATTCAGGGGCCATATAGCCGCTGCGTTGTTTCATTACAACCCCAATAGTAAAATCATTTTTGTTCAACTATTCCATGAGAAGGAAGGGTCATCAAATGAAAATGTTTAATCATTTTGGACAAAACAAAAGATACTTACAATGTTCCAACAACCCTTCTAGTGTTGGCTTGGTCTTGGTTGCTTCCAAAAATCTTTGCCATGCCGAAATCTGAAATTTTTGGATTTAGATCTTCATCCAACAAAACATTATTCGTCTTTAAATCCCTATGAATAATCTTTAATCTGGAATCCCTGTGAAGGTAAAGTAGGCCTCGACCAATCCCTTCAACAATGTTAGCACGTTTTCTCCAATCTAAGAATTTTTGCTTGATTGGATCTGAAAATATATTGAAGAGAAGAAAAAACAAGTAGGTTAAAGTTGTTGGGAGAATAAATTTGATGCTGAGACAAAATTTATAGTTTTAGAAGATCAGTATGTTCCTAAAGACTACAAAAGAAAAGGCATTTTGTCCTCTCAACACAAAAAGGTCCTGCTGATGTTAAGGTTATGAAATTGAAATAACTAGATATAATATAACTAACTCTATCATGAACTAACCAAAGAGAAATGCATCCAAGCTTTTATTTGGCATGTATTCGTAGATCAACATCTTTTCTTCTTCTTCCACACAGCAACCAAGAAGTCTAACAAGATTGCGATGCTGCAGCTGAGAAATCACCACAACCTCATTCATGAACTCCTCCATGCCTTGTCCAGAGGATTTTGAAAGCCTCTTCACAGCTATTTCTTGTCCATTTGGCAATTTTCCCTGAAAATAAAGATGAAACTGATTTTTGTTTTTTTTATTTTTGGGTACGGCACAGCAATGAATGAACAAGCATTACCTTGTACACAGGACCAAAACCACCCTGTCCGAGCTTATTGGCCACATGAAATTTATTTGTTGCAATTTCCAGTTCCATGTAACTGAATAGAGGTAGGTCTTCAAGTTTAACATGGTTCAGATCTCCAAGTGTGCTTTCTTTTGAAAAATCTGCATTCACTTTTCGTCTTTTAAATAGTAACTTCTCACTTTTTGCCTTCCTCCCTGATATAAAATTTAGTTTTACTTGATTTATAGAATAACAGCAAATATTTTCTAAATTATGAGCTAACGGTAATTTGCATATACCTCTTGATTTAGCCATCCACCTCCAAGAAAGATAGATGCAGATAATTGCAATTGATACTGACCCTATGATCACGGCAATTGTGATAACTACTGTTGTGTTTCTCTTTTTATCTGTGAAGCAGTGCAAACTTCGAGTGAGTTGAGTTGAGTTGAGTTGAAATGGATTAAAGAACTGGGAAGATCTATATATATACATACAACTTTCATGGCCGTCTTCTCATTGGTAAAAAAAAAAAAATAATAAAAAAAATAAAAAATAAAAATAAAATAAAAGAAGAAGAAAAAGAGTACTATAAAATATGTAGAAGGATTACAAAACTTAATAATGAATATGTGATGACTCATATCCATTTATATGATCTGAATCAACAAGTAAACAAACAATAGATGAAAAAGAGGGTTATTTGAAGCATATATCAAAATACAAGATCGTAAAGAAGAGGCATGTGTATTACCAATCTCTGAATATGCCACGCGAATGTAAAGATCAGCTCCACCATAGGAAAATTCCTGTATGTCAATTAAGTCTGCACTCCACTGCATACAACCAAAGCCACTATAATACGAATAAGCTATACAGGAACAATTATTCAAGCACTGGCTTTTGCAGATGTCTTCTGAAACAGATAGCCACATAGCAAAGGCCGGCACCTTCACTGTCTTTCGCTTCAGAAACCCATCTTCTTTGCCCTTTTCACCACCATCACTGTTGTTTCTCTCACACTGCAATTGTCTCCTCCTTACACATCCACTGGTCCAAGTTCCTCTACTCCATTCCTCCATATCCTTTGGATGAAACCCTTGCAAACAGGTGCAAATTGGTGAATTCTGTGTGTTGCAGATCCCGAAAGGTCCACAATTGCCATAAATGTCACATTTACTCTGTGGAAACCGTAACGTATCTTCCCAATTCTCCATTCCAATATCCAGGTATCTCTGCACAATAATTCCATCAGAATTCAAGAAAAAATACAACACAGATTCATTTGTAGACGTGTAGCTTATATACACGGTTTCTTTATCATCTACAACATCAAGACTCTTAGAGTATCCAACCATGTCAGGTAATCCAATAAAAATCTGTCTGTTATATGGACCACTCCGCCAGTGTGGATGACTACCATTCCATACATATAGTTCTGGAATATTTAATGGATTCAAACCATAAGTGAAGCTTCCAGTAGATGGATCTGAAGAGCTTTTCCATGAGGTGAGCAGAGTCCTCTCATCTGTAAATTTGTGGGAACTAATTTTCATCTTTTGCAAGAAAGAATCAGAAGGGTGTTCAAAACTCTCCCATATTATATTTCCATTGGAGTCATCTCGCAACATAAGGTTCCCAGAATCTAAAAGCTGGGCACTTGAATTCGCGGAAGAATTTGGAACATTGGATGACCAAACAATCTGCCTCTGTCCATCCATGACTACAAGGTTGCCATCTTCAGATACAGTCAGAGTACCAGAAGAGTCGTGAAGTGGTTTTTCTCTATTTGCTACCCAGACCACAGCCATATGCGTAACAGAGAGGTTGTTATACCAGATACCAACATACCGGTTAGTAGAATTACCGGGACAAAAAAATCCCAGTTTGAAGGTGGTACCGTTGGAGACTATGGTTTCAGGGTCATGGATGGGTTGAGATGATGTAATTGTGTCTATGGCAGTGCAAAATTCTATATTACAAGAACAGTAAAATATGAGAACAAGGATTAGAATAAGAGTCATTAAGCTTGTACATACCATTGAAAGTCCAATAACTCTGTTGAGTGCTTCTTCTTGGTGAACACAGTAGTTCTGATATCTTCTTATCTGTTGCCAAAGGTCTTCCATGCATCAACAGTACTAATTTAACTCTCAATTTACTCCTGAGTTTGACTGAGGCAACGAAAACTTTGAACCAAATGGGGAGCGAAGGTCCTACACCACGCAACTCTGAACTCTCCATTTACTCCTGAGGTTGACAGATGCCAAACTTTGAACCAATTAATAGGGAGCGAAGGTCCTCCACCACCTGTTGGATTGAAAGGGGTTCCAAGCTGAAAATTCCTTATTCTTTCCTCTCTTTTTTTCAAAGGGTAGTAAATAATTTATCTAGATGCTTTGAAAATGACTAACCAAATTACATGGTCTAAAAACTGGTGCTGCATCACCTTCTGGTTTAGATGACAGGGTTATTATTGATGGGTTGTTGGTGTAATTGTGTCTATGACAGTGCAAAATTCTATGGTGCAGAAACAGTAAAATATGAGAACAAGGAATAGAAGAAGAGTGATGAAGCTTTTCATTAGAAATGCAGCGTTGCATGATGAGTCCAAGAGGTCCTATAGAGAGGTGGTGCATACTGTGTCCTTTGGGAGTGCCTGCACTTGCTGGGCTTTCGACTTCAAGACTTGCAGCTCATTTTTTGATGTGTTATTGCTTGGAGTGTATAGGGCTATGTACTTGTTCTTGGTCATTTGCTTTGTATTGGAAATGTGTTTTCTCGTTTCTTTAGTTTGCTTGTGGAGTTGTATGCCTTCACTCTCTAATGTAGTAGTTTTAGAGTACTTTTAGTTTTCTCTTTAATGAAAAAAAAAAACCCATGGCAAGTCCAATAACGATCTGTTGAGTGTTGAGTGCTTCTTTGTGAAGATAGAAAGTATTATGTTTTCTGATCTGTTGCCAAAGGGCTTCCATTTCCTTACAGGTTGAAAAATCATCATTCTTTCCTCTTATTTCTCTACGTCCTAAAGATGTAGTATTACTATAGTTAGCTGGACTTAGGGTTCTATTTTTTTCATAGCCAAATCTATTTTTTTGAAGCCCTCACTTGGTATTTTCATTTTGTCAAGAAACATCAATCTTTTGGAATTTTTTTTTTTTTTTTTTTTTTTTTTTTTTTTTTTTTTCATGAAACGGTGCTTATTGGAATTTGAAAAAATTTTGAATTAAAATTTCTTTTTAAGGGCATGTTTGACAACTACTCTTGTTTCGTGTTTCTTTGTGAGTAGCAGCAAAACACCAAAACGCATTTGACAATTTTTATTGTAATTTTAATAGTATGCCCAAAAAATCCAAAATTTGGTATTTATAATGTTTTTGCACTATAACAAAACACCGTGAGTGTGAATTGTACCCAAAAAAAAATAAATACTAAATGACTTTTTTAATTATCATTTTATTTTTCAATCTCACAACACTTTTTTATCAAACATGTTTTATATTTTTACTTTCAAAACTCTCAAAATCAATTTTACATTAACTGCTTCCACAGCAATGAGTCATACTGTGAGCAAGTCTACATTTAGTTAAACTTTTGGAAGAAAAAGAAAAAATCAGCGCCATGTTAGTTGGAGAGTATTGACTCACGCCTACCATATACTACGTATGTAATACAGTACTACTTAATTAGCCGTCAGTTCTGTTAATTGAATTAATTCGCCGTCAGTTCTGTTAGATTCATATGTTAAAGCTATCCTAACGCGCACCATCAAGGGTTAGGGTTTAGTTTTTTTATTTAAAACTCTGGTTTTATTTCTTTGACGATTTGTGACTTAATTTTTTTTTTTTAAAGAGTTTGTTGATGATGGATTTTGCGCAACTTGGATCTGATCTGACTTCTTGAATAAAGAGAAGAAAAAGTGATCCTACGAACACCGGTGTGTTACCGGTGGAGTAGGCTCCGACGAACAAGTCAGTGTGAATGATAATCTCCCTGGAGAAATCGAGAAATTGAGTTAGGGTTTATTGCGTACCTCAAAATGTTGATTCCCCCGCCTTTTTTATAGGGCTTAGGTTAAGATGTCATGTAGAATTACCTTATTGTAATCTATAGACTTAATCCTCATCGTAATCTTTAATCCTTATCACAATCGTTAATCCTTATCGTAATCTGTAAAGCCTATCTCAATCTGTAATCCTTATCGTAATCTGCAGAGCCTATCTCAATAGTGCGTTAATTTAGTAATCTTCCCTTAATTATGGATATTTAAATTATACATCCATCAGTTGCCCCCTGTTTCGGAGAATTGCTTGTCAAACCACCGGAACGTTAATTACAAAATATCACACAATAATATATAGTTAGAATTGCAGAGCCTTGTCCATTAGCCTGACTTATATTGTCATTTCGCGAATACAGTCGGGGGTCATAGTATCACATTGGCAGCTCGTATATGTGGCAAGCTCGTATATTTATCGTATATTGGCAAGCTTGTATATTTGTCGTAGTGCCACATTGGCAGCTCGTATATGTGGCAAGCTGCCATGCTGGTAGTCTACCGCTATGTGGCAAGCTGCCATGCCATGCTGCCGTGGCAAGCTGTCCTGTTGGCATGCTGCCGTTATTTGTCAAGTTACCCTGGCAAGCATGCTGCTTTTATTTGGCAAGCTACCCTGCTGGCATGCTGCCTTTATTTGGCAAGCTGTTATGCTAGCATGCTGCGGTTATTTAGCAAGCTGCCCGGCTGGCATGCTGCCTTTATTTGGAAAGCTGCCCTGCTAGCATGCTGCCGTTATTTGGCAAGCTGCCCTGCTGGCATGCTGCGGTTATTTAGCAAGCTGCTCTGCTGGCATGCTGCCTTTATTTGGCAAGCTGCCCTACTGGCATACTGCCTTTATTTGGTAAGCTGCTCTGCTGGCATGCTGTCTTTATTTGGCAAGCTGCCCTACTGGCATTCTCCCATTATTTGGCAAGCTGCCCTGCTGGCATGCTCCCATTATTTGGCAAGCTGCCCTGCTGGCATGCTACCGTTATTTTATACTTGATTTTATTGACATCTTTAGTCGGCTCGTCTCTTTAATAAGGAAAGTAGATTAAGACGAGTTTCACGTAACTCGTAATAAGGTAAGTAGATGAATACGAGTTTCACTCAGCTCACCCTTTAACATAGGAAGTAGATTACTATGAGCTTCACCCAGCTCACCTTTTAACGAGGGAAATAGATTACTATGATCTTCACTCATCTCACCCTTTAACAAGGGAAGTAGATTAATACGAATTTCACCCAGGTCATCCTTTAACAGGGGAAGTAGATTAATACGAGCTTCACCCAGGTCACCCTTTAACAGGGGAAGTAGATTACTATGAGTTTCACTCAGCTCACCCTTTAACAGGGAAAGTAGTTAACCCCTCGTCTTTTTACGAGGGAAGTAGATTACTATGAGCTTCACTCAGCTCACCCTTTAACAAGGGAAGTAGTTAACCCCTCATTTTTTTACGAGGGAAGTAGATTACTATGAGCTTCACTTATCTCACCCTTTAACAAGGGAAGTAGTTAACCCCTCATCTTTTTACGAGGGAAGTAGATTACTATGAGCTTCACTTATCTCACCCTTTAACAAGGGAAGTAGATTAATACGAGCATCACTCAGCTCACCCTTTAACAAGGGAAATAGTTAACCCCTCATCTTTTTATCGAGGGAAGAAGATGAAGCTGACCCTTCATTCTTTTAAGAGGGAAAAAGGTATGGTCTTGACATGGGAGTCATCTCCTCTAACGGTTGTCTCGGGATGTTGGCAAATCGTTGACACTTGTTGCACTTTTGAACGAAGTCAAGTGCATCTTTCTGCATGGTGGGCCAATAGTATCCTAGTCGGATGGCCTTGTTAGCAAGTGACCTACCCCCAGCATGGTTTCCACAAACTCCTAGGTGGATCTCCCTTAAAATGTAGTCAGCTTCCTCGCTAGAAACGCATCGTAAATACGGCATGGAGAAGCTTCTCTTGTTGAGCACCCCTTTGATAAGCGTATACCTAGCTGCCCGCATCTTGACCTTTCGAGCTTCTGCTCGGTCTGTTGGTAGCACCCCATCCTTGATATATCTGATGATAGGATCTGCCCATTCCACATTCAATATCGCTTGTTGCACTTCAATTTGTCTCTCCTGAGATATAGATGGTTCGTCCAAATATTCCAGTGGTATATTTTTATTGATCTCAGGTTCAATGCAATAGCTAGCCAGGCTAAAGCGTCTGCTTTCCCATTCTCTTCTCGTGGTATTTGATGAATTGAGAATCTTTGGAAGTGATTCTTTAATTCCTTCACCTTTTGTAGGTAACTCTTCATCTTCTCGTCTCGTACCTCATATTCCGCTTGAACTTGTCCAGCGACTAGCTCGGAGTCGGTGTAATTGCTCAACCCCTAGGGTATTTGCCACTTTTAATCCTGCTATCAAGGTTTCGTACTCTACTTTGTTGTTGGTTGCGTTGAAACCAAACCGAAGTGCATACTGTATACTTTCTCCCTCTGGGGAGACAAGAACAAGCCCAGCTCCGCTAACCTGAACATTAGATGACCCATCCACGAACAAGTCCCAGACTACTTCTGGGCCTATCTGCTCACTTAAACCTGGTTCTATCAAAAATTGGGGTTGTTTTTCCTCTTCTGGAGGGGTAAACTCAGCTAAGAAATCAGCCAACACCTAAGCCTTTACTGTTGTTCTTGGCTTATACTGAATGTCGAACTCTTCTAACTCTACTGACCACTTCATCAGTCGACCAGAGCTTTCTGGCTTGTGTAGGACCTGTCGAAGGGGTTGATCTGTTAGGACTACTATCGTATGTGCTTGAAAGTATGGTCTTAGTTTCCTGGCGGACACAATTAAAGCAAAGGCCAACTATTCCATCCTTGGATATCTTTCCTCCGCACCCTTAAGTGCTCTGCTCACGAAGTATACTAGCCTTTGGACCCCTTCTTCTTCTCGTATCAGAGCTGAACTGACAGCTGTCGTGGAGACTGCAAGGTATATGTATAGTTCCTCTCCCGGTATGGTTCGAGACAGTAGTGAGGGAGAACTAAGGTATTGCTTTAGTTCTTTGAACGCCTGCTCACACTCTGGGGTCCATTCAAACGCATTCCTTAGCACACGAAAGAAAGGTAGACACCTGTCAGTTGACCGAGAGATTAGCCTACTCAAGGCAGC